CACACTTGAGACCTGGTCTCAATATGATGCTTAGACCTCCACCTTTCCCCGCCTCCAATCGGTCAATCCGGAAGAGCTAGAACCCACGACAAAGGCTAGCGAGCCTTCCCGCACCCATAAGCAAGTATGTGCTTATGATAATAAGTCTGTGACGACTACCATCCACAACAGACAGACGGTTCTCAATCGATCTGACGGGGAAAGCAGTGTAACCAAGCTAAGCCTCGTGGCCCACAGGACACAACTCATCACACCCATATAACCCATACTATATCCATGTCCGGTCTCCATTTTTCCTTTCATCATTTTTATCATGAGAGTAATTATAATAATCACCTATTGTGAGTAACGGCAATGAGGTTACTCACGCTCTCGAAAAACCTAGGCATAGCGACTACTCGAACCTATACTAATAGGACTCATAGGGACAGTTATATCTATGCGGGTGGTTTGATAAGATTCATGTGACGTAAATGCACATAACATATATATCTGAGTGATTATAAAAAAAAATAAGGGTTATGCAGGAGGCTTGCCTTAGGCGGAGCAGTGGTGTTAAATCTGAGTCGATCGTCGGTGTCTCCGGGACCTCCTCCTACACAAGAATCTCCTCCTCGTACTCCTCGGCGATCTCCTCGAACTCACAATAAATGCATGAGTCACTATCTCCACCAACTCGTTCTCTACATGCATGCGATGATGATGCAACACTTAGCATTTAGGCAACAATAACTCTTAAAATAAGAATACGCATACTAAGCTACTAAGCTAGCTTTAATGACTAAGGTACTAACCTAACTACCATCTTCATCAGAGCAAAGTGTTAGGGTTCAACTAACAAACTCTTAGCTTGGTAATTTAAGGATATATCTTTATTTCTATTAGTGATTTAATGTATATTGAAACAAAGAGCATTTAACTACCCTAATTCTTAGTCTATTTTAAAGCTACAAAAATTACAGTGAGCAGTAATACAATGAAGCTACTATAAAAATTTCAGGACTAAAGCTATCACCAGTTTACCATAAAAATTCCTACAATAATTAACTTAATATTATTAAGCATTCTCAAATGATTTAATAGCTCCTAATGTCAACACATATAAACATGAACTAAATACACCAACAGATAGAGCAAAATTTTAAAGACCTAACAAAATTTGTTTCATAATTTTTGGACACCTACATGATTTTATATTAATTACCAAATATCAGCTCAGAAATTAAATTAGAAAACTATTTCTAATTCCTTAGGAAAACGAAAAACAAATCTCCTTGTTACTTGGCCCACACGGCGCCCATTGTAATATATCGTCTTGTGACCCGCTTCATGCCACGCAAGGCCGGCCCATGCGAGGCTGCCCTTGGCGGGGAATCCATGTGTATTTGGTGTTTATGCAAAAGAGGCCTTGAACTTCTTTCAAATCGTAACTAAGTACTAACACTATTTCCCCTCTCTCAGACCATCTCACTTAACCCCCCGATCTTTCCCTAATTCCCCCCGCACACCTCGGCAACTCATTGCGGTGGTAATGGTGGCGGCTGGCACTAGGCGCCTCTGCTTGGCCACACAGGACTCGTGGGCCCACTGACAGGTCGATCACCATCTCCGATCTTGGTGGCTACGCTAGCAGCGGTGAGGGTGGTGCGACTTCTTTGAGAAAGGCTGCGGCGTGCGGCCATCAGCGATGGCGGCCTTAACTGTTCCGGTGAGCTCGGCGGCTGAAGCCTAACCATCTAACGTCACGAGCAATAGGGCTCACCGTGGACTGGCGAGGTGACAGTTGGAGTGAGAGGATGATAGAGGAGGTTGGTACGTCTTGGCCGAGCCATGCGGCGGTGCACCATGGCGATGCAGTCGCGCGTCGGCGGCAATGGGAAGCGGTAGAGGTTCAGCCAAAGGCAGGCGAAGAAGGGTATGGAAGCGAAGCTAGCGGTGCACTCAAATTGGTTGGGGTGGACCGATGGAGGGCTGCCCTCGGCAATGGCGAAACCTGACCTTATCAACCCGGCGGTGGGAAAACTCCAAATTGAGCTTAGCCATGCCCGCTTCAAAAGGCTGGGTGGGGTCGGGTAGCTAGAGGACTTAATTACGAGGCCGTGGGCGTGTTGAATCGGATTGAGGTGAACTCTCACGGCCGATTGCGGTAGCGGCTCTAACGGGCGAGAGGCGGCGGGGAGAGGGATGGGTCGAGCTCAAGCTGTCCTCACCTTGGCGGCAAGTGGTCGGCGGACCGAGGCAGCGTCTGCTTTTCGCTACGTGACAGCGGCTAGAACCCGTGCGCCGCGCGAGAGATAGGTGAAGGCGGCATGCGGCGCGGCGCCAATAAAATAAGCGGCAAGCACGAGGCGGCAGGACATCCATGTGCGTGCGGTGACATGGCGAGCAGCGGCCCAGTGTGCGGCCGCGGCATCACGGCGACAGCTACACGCCTGCAGCGATGGCCAAAAGCGGCGGATGGCTGCGCCTCGGCAGCTCGGCAAAGCGGCAATGACGGTAAAGCGATGGCGGCGGTGGCGAGGAAGCAACAACGCGGCTGCTGCAACCAAGCATGGCGAAGCGAAGCAGCCTCGGCCGGCCACACGCGGCAGCGCGCGTGCGCACGGGGCAGCCAGTGTGGCGGCGCCGCGCGCCCGAGCGTGGTGACCACACCCACGCGGCCAACCAGCCCGAGACCGTGTCGTGCATGAATTTTAAATCGTCGATCGCAACTAAGCTGTTGAGGTTGACACTAAACCGCCTTCATTATGCTAAACATGGTCTATTAAGCTATTAATCCGAGCTAAAACATGACACCACATCTTAACTCAATTTCACAAAATAAATCCCCAAACATGGTATAGTCTTTGTCAATAAACTTAAAGAATCTTCTAAGTCTTGAGTGAATTCAACTTCAAGTTCCATTTCTAAGCTATTAGAAATACTAGCTAGTAATGTTATTTTTCTACAGCAAGAGTTGCATTGTCATCTATAAAGTTTGTACTTCAAACTTTATTTAAGTGTCCTTACATGTTCTATAATATTTTTACTCAATAAAAATTGGTTTTCAACGCTACTTGACATAACATGAGCTATTGAATCAATTTTTATTTAACATTTGTATTGGTCATTTTAGGTTACAAGAAATTTATCTACACATTCTATCATATGCATTATCACATAAACATGATGCTCGTGACATGGTTTAATAGCTTGTTTAGGAGGCGTAACGACGAGGTGTTACAATTGGCTACCTGCTGAGTGCCTTCCAGGCCGAGCTAATCTCATGTCTGTAGGGAGTTCAAGCAGCCTTAAATTTGGGCATTGGTAGGTTGATCCTGAAACCAATGCGCTGATGGTGAAACAAGCTCTCTCATTTGACAATTTCGACACAATGCCAGAAGGAGGACCGGTGAACAAGCTCAAGTTTCTAGTGTCTTCTAGTTTCATACATTTTGAATGTGCTTTTAAGGGAAGGGATTGTAATGGAGCTGCTCATGCAGTGGCGGAGCTGGGTTATGAGTGCACTCTGGGAGAGTTGATTACAAACTCTATATCCTTGTAACGTTCATGTATATGTTGATATGATGCTGATATTTCAGCAGATGAGTAATGCAAGTACCTAGTTAAAAAAAAACATTTTCTCTATCTAATCTATATATTAATATATATAATAGGACCGTGTCCGTGTTGTAATAGAAAAAAATAATAACATGACAATTCAAGTTTGAAAGCGTGTTGTGTTCTTACCTAAAAAAAAACAATACGGTAAACATAATATTTGCAATAGCTGGCTGTTAATTTGTTTTACATCAGCTATAATAAACAACGAACATACAGATCGTATATGTGATGTATATGTGGGAGAGATGAATGGGTATTATAAATTCAAATTTTGTGCTTGGTTGAGACTAAGAGAAGCAAAATCTTCTATCTCAAGTGTATCATGTAATGACTTTAAATATTATATTATCTTAACATCATTGTGAGGGTATTACAGACCCGATAAGCAGCAATAACCAAGTGGTCATCTACGATGCGAGCCGAACGAGCCCTTAAGAAATTCTACTAAAATATAAAATGCCGCCCACATCCAAAGTCTGAAACATGCTTTGTACTAAACCTTATTGATACACACCACCTCGTGGGAGTCCAACCCACAAAGATCGATCTTTCATTTATAGGAATTCAGAAATTGGCCAACTTTTCCTAGAACCAAATGCTAAACTCAACCAACCATTAGCAATTGTCAATCGATCAATGGGGAAGAGGAAATGTACAATCAGATCTCGCATCGAAGAATCTGATACCAAGTGTAAGCAGGATACGCACCGGAGAAGGAAGAATCCAAAGTTGTTGTTGTGTGTGTGTGGGGGGGGGAGCACAAAGGAATGAGTAGGAGTAAATGAGATTATATTGCTGTAATGTTGTTTATACATAATTCCTCTCCTTGCCTCGTCGGCGCAGCTACAGACATCTCACGCACTCACATTCCTGGGCCGGGTCTACTCTGCGCCGGCAATGCAGACATCAGGCTTGTGAGTTCGTTCAACCCAACCAGGCCCAAGGAAGGTCATGCTTTGGACGTCATATTCAGGCGCTGCCATTGGATGCTTTTGTTGAGCACCCGTGGTTTCTTTTGTACTCGTATAGTCGTATATCTCATGTTCTTCGTCATTGTCATGTTAGACAGGCTATTTTCCATGAACTCCAATAAGATGTTCCTAAACTTTAGTGAAGTTTCTTATAAAAAAATACTGTGAGTGTTTTTTTTGTGTGTCATATAGTAATGGAAGCGAGATGTACTTGGGTTAGAAGCGAATCAGGTTCGGTGGATATACAAAATCGATGATTAGATGTTTTGCTCTTTTGTGTGTGCACTATTTGTTTAGCCATCTCTCAGAGAATTAGCATGAAGGCCAAAAAAAGTAGTGCAGTATCTGTCTATCTGATTAATACTACTAATATTGGCGTTAGAACGTTTACTGTGTCTGGAAGATCAACGTGCTGCCACCATTTGTTCACAGAAATACAGAGGACAGCATCGGGTATATATATATCAGCGCGTGGTGCGGAGGATGCCGTGGAAGGTGAGCGTGCCCTCGAGGGTCCCCGATGATCCGCGCGATTCGCACCTCCAGCCCTCGCTGCACGTCCCTCAGCAGCGCCCCGGCCACCTCCATCAGCCTCTTCATGTCCACGCCGTCTCCATCGCCGCCGCCGCCAGGCGGTCGCGCGCGAGGCCCGGCGCGATCCTGGACTGCGTCTCCAGCAGCTTCTGCCCCGTGGCCACCATGAACCGCTGCAGCTGGAACGTCTCCTCCAGGAACTGCCCCAGCGCCGCGCTCTGGCTCTGGCTCTGGCTCTGCTCCCCGCGCCGTGCCGTTCCCGCCCGCGCTCCTCTTGCTCTCCTCCTGCATGGCATGAGACAGACAGACATCAACGCATGATCCCGGAATGCCAAAACATATTCCTGATGATGGAATGGGGATCCGCGTCTTCTCCCCGTACCATTCTTAAGCAGAGGTCGTCGATCTTGTCGTCGAGGACTGGTACCGCTTGACGTGCTTGCTCAGGAACGACATCATCGTGTGGTACCTCGACCTCGGCTGCTGCCTGCTGCTGCTGCAACTGGCTTCACTCCCCTGACGGCTTCGTCGCCGCGGCCTCCTCCTTGCATTCGTTGGCCAGCTTCTCCAGCACCAGCAGCTGCTGCTTCAGCCTCTTGATCTTGTACGACACCGCCATCGCGTGGATGTCTGTCTTCCAAGCGGAGCTCTTCTGGCCAGGCGGCAAGGCAACGAGCGCGAGCTCAGACGTCGCCTCTTGCTCTTGGGAGCTACTACCTGTCGTCTGTGCATTGCCCGGATCGGTGTAGACCTCCTTCTCCTCCTCGATCTCAGACCTGAAAGACCGCCGGCTCGCCGGGGCATTATCATGTCGTCCGTGTTCCATGGACGTTGATGCCGCCGCAGCGCACGCGAGATCCCCGACCGAGACGACAAGCGCCTCTGTCGCATGCACATCCAGCTCCTTCCAATCCTCCTTGTGATCTTCTGGGGAGACACAGACTGGCTCGTCAGCTTCGTCTCTGCACGATGACACTTGCTGACCTCAGTGCCCTCTTGATGCCGCGATCCGGATGACATTGTTCTCTGGACGACCTTCACGGGCGAACAAAGGGATGCACTGGTCGTCAGGGCCGTCGTCTTGGCCACCGGCCGGCGTGCAGATCTCCACACCAGGCGCCTGCGCTTGGAGCGTCTCCAGCTGCTCCTCAGGTGCTCTGTTCTCGTTGTCCCTGTCCAGGAGCAGGGCCTCCAGACCGGCGCTGTGCTTTTCGTGCCGTGCGAGACGGCCCTCCAGCTCCTGGATCCGGCTCCGGAGACGCGTCGCCTCGACGTCCATGCTCACCGCCCTCCACTGGAACGCCTCCAGCTTCTCGTCCTTGAGCCGGAGCTGCTCCGTGAACGCCTCGATCTCCGCCGTGTGCCGGTGCTTGATCATGGCCGTGTACTTCTTCGTCTCCATCTGGAACCACTCCTGCAGGCCTTGGTATTCCTCCACAGCTGGACGACGTATCCAAAGAAAAAGCACAAGCCTAGTCACAACTCTGAAACACTGCTGTTTTGATGTTCACCATTTCTAAATTCTAATGACTAACGGGTTGACTAGTTTGCATTTTGAAAGGCAGTTGCGCTGTATTTTGTACTCAAACAAGACTTGTTAGAACGCAATAAAAACAAACTTTTCTATCAACTGAATCCTGGCGGCATATGGTGACCAGATTAGTAGTACAATTTTGTGAGCAGAGCAGGGCTAACAGAGTACAAGAAGACAGAACAGGTGGACATACCGGGCTTGTCGTCGACGTGGCTGGCATAGCGGTCGACACATTCAATGGTGGTCAGCTCCTTCGCCGGCGCCTGCCGGTGGTCCTTCTTGCCGTCGCCCTCGACGTGGTCCACGAACAGTATCTTGGTGGTGTCATTGGTGGCGCGCGCCACGGCGTCGGGGCCAGCAGCTTGTCGGCGGAGCTCCCGGCCGGCAGCGGCAGGTCGGCAGCCGCGCCCGCGCCGACGACCTGGAGGAGCCCCGGCGGTGGGCACGGGACTCCCATCTTGCGCCACCGGTCGGCCTCCAACTCCGCCTGCTTCCGCCTGGCCTTGCACATCTTGACCTCCCTTACCAGCATCTCCCTGTCCTCCATATCGATCTTGGACTTGCGCAGCATCGCGGAAGGATATTGTCCTTGTGGTCCGCGTCCCGGCGCAGGCGCGCGGCCTCGGCGGAGATCGGCTGCCGTGGCGGCCGCCTCGTCGCAACGCTCCAGCGCGGCCCGGAGCTCGGCCTCCGCCGTGTCCGCGAGGCGCGCGGCGCAGGCCAGGTCCGCCTCCAGCTGCCGCTGCGCGGACGCGAGCTCCACGAACGCCGCCTTGTGCTTGCGCACCTCGGCCGCGTGCTCCAGCGCGTCCCTGCCGGCGCGCTGCCGCAGCTCCTCCGCGGACCGCTCCGCGGCCTGCAGCCGCTCCTCCGCGCCCTGCCGCCTCTGGACCTCCTGCTCCAGGGGCCCTGTCCTTGAGCGCCACCGTGTCCCGCTGCTCCTCCAGCTGGCGCCTCAGCTCCGCGGCCTCCTCCTCGCGCTTGGCCTCGCGCGCGCGCGCGCTGCAGCCACGACGGCATGCACCTGCCGCCGCAGGGACTTGCGCTCCGCGAACCACCGCTGCTCGTGGGACGCGAAGATTCCCCGCCACCTTCTCGTTGGCCCGGGCGTCCTCGGCCCGCCGGTGGCAGAGCTCCTCGACCTGGCGCTCCAGCGCCGCGACCTTCTCCCGCAGCGCGTGCTCCATGGCGCGCGACCACCGGCACCCCGCCGCCTCGCGCCACCAAGATCGAACACGGCGGCAGCTCTCCCCTGCGCAAGAGCGAAAGAAAGGCCGAGGTAGTAGACGGCGGCGGCCGCGGGGTGCGTCGAGACCGGCCAGGACGGCGCCGATGACGCCAATGGCAGCGCGTGATCAGCCGCCATCGCGGCCGCCGACCTCTCCCGTAGTTCTTGGCTCATACTAACCACCATCAGGCGGGCTGTAGCAGCGGATCACTAAGCTAAGCTAAGAAACAAGCGTCAATCAAATCCTGTCAGAAATTACACGATGGTTATGCCAAACGGGAGATGGCTATGGACTATGGTGGAGAGTTTAGTGCGGCGAGAGCAACGGCTGGCTTGGTGGTGGGCATGGTGGCGGTGAGCCGGAGGAGAAAGGAGAAGCAACGCGAGCTGCAATGCAAAGTGGCAGGGACCAGGGATGAATCAGTGATGGTGATGGGGCCTCCACAAGAAAATTGAGTTGGCAGTGGATGATTGAAGGAAAGGCTATCGCTGGTACGGAGGCGGTCAATGTGGGGAGCTCAGCTGGGATTCCAGATGGAGCGCAACAGCCAGCGCACAAAGGAATGTGAGCTAACCTCTTGCTTCGTCACTTCCACCCACGGTTCAAAAATTCGGTGAAATTTGGCTGAATTCTACGAAATTCGGTAATTTGGGAGGTGGCGAAGAAAACTCCAAAATTTTTAATACACTAATACATGTGATATATAACTCTAATCTTATATTTTTCTATTGTTTATATTGCATATTCTTCTATTTAATAGATATGTAGTCATAAATCATACTAATATTTGTTTATATCTAAATTTTTTTAGAAAAAACATACTTCATGTGCTAATCTCTAAAAAAAATCGGCGAAATTTCGGCTGAATTTCGCGAAATTCAGTAATTTCGGTGATGGCCGAAATTTTGGCGATACCGAAATTAAAAACCTTGCTTCCACCATTGCTTCTTTAGTGAAGGACTGAAGGGTGGTGGTATATATATAGTATTATAGACTATAGAGGAACACCTCTGTCGTCTAGTTGGCCTGTTCTTTTTCCTTTGAAAACAAACCGGGTTTTATTCGACGAATTAATTAGGGGAGGTGCTAAATTTTGATTACCTGACAAATGGTTTGTCCATAGCACACTATAGGCAGAAACCAAGAAAACACTAACGCAGTAATGTTGTACTTCTAAAACAATCACAATTCCGCCCTCGTCTGCTGCCAACATTGTTTCATCAACAGCAACAGTCCTTACCTCTTGTTTGTCTCTTCTATGTACTGCTAATGCTGTACTACTTGATATTGCCCTAAATAATACTGTAATCCTTGTGGGAGGGAGACTTGGTTTCTCTCCGTACATTCATCAACGAACAAGAACAAGATGCGGCGAGGCCCTTGGATTCAGCCCTCTCTGCAGAACACAACTAACCCTTTTGTTTGCTCCCTCTCTTGTTTATAATTTGCTCTTTCTTCTGCCGTTTTGGCTTTGGCAGTTAGGATCTTCGTCTGCATTAAGCAGCTTATAAGTAAATTCTTTTTCGATTAATGAACAATATTTTTCTCTCATAACAAATTAGTCAACGATATTTTTGGTCGTGGTTTATCAACCAAACAGTCAGTACACTTTAACGGAAAAAGAACACAGCAAACAGAGAGAGCAGGCATCTTTCTTCTCTGGGAAAGGTCAAACCGACCATACATCAGCCACAGCCAGAACCTGCCCTCTTTCTTTCTGGGCTGTCAGGACACTTTTCTCTGCTGGCTGGCTGCCCCTGGGGCCGCCGACCGGCTGCATTCCCGGTATGGCCGTATCAACGGCCTCTGCATTGCTGCTGGATGTGGCCTCCGAAAGGCGCTTTTCTTGTCCCACCCACCAGGCCACACTCGGGTGGTGGTAAAAACTAAAAAGGACGCTCAGCCAGTCAGTCAAGTCCTAGTAGCAAGCATCAACGGCCTTGTTTAGATTGCTTCAAAGTTTTAAGTTTTTTCATTCTCTCTTCATCACATCGAATCTGGGGATATATGCATGCGGCGGTAAATATAGATAAAAAAATAACTAATTACATGGTTTAATTCTAAATTACGAGGCGAATCTTTTAAACCTAGTTAGTTCATGATTGAACAATAATTGTTAAATACAAAGCGAAAATGCTATGGTGCTAAATTTTTCTAACTCTTGCAATCTAAACAAGGCCAACGATTCAAAGATGCTGCTGGTTGGTAGTCTGGTACAACAAGCTATCTTGCCCCTAGTACGTACTTCCGCTAGTCTATAGTAGGGTGGTGCCGATAACGATTCAATCTTCAAAGTTGCTACGACTACTTCACCAACCGATCGAATTTACCCAAAGTATTTATTTGTGAGCCTCCAACTTGGGCATGGTATATGCTGAACATGCTTCTAGATCTAGTCTTCGGCAAACAATCCATGGCTGGATATGGCCTATGCATGGCTCGTGGAGAGTGAAATGCTGCGGTGACATGTGGCCCGTTAAACTACACCCTATATTAAACTTGTTTTTTCAGCCGGAATAATATTTTTCTCTCCCAACAATTCAACCAGAACAGTATTTTCAGCCAGTTTCAACCAAGATTCAGCAAGCCGAACGGGGTCTCTAAGCTCATAATTAAAATTTGGATTTCAGTTCCTATATAGGGCTCGTTCGGCTAGTGTAAAAACCAGCCGGAATTCACTATTCACGCTCTCACAAATTGCTTCAGATTTCTCTAAATTTCTCTCGGCGAACAGGGCCATATCATCATTGTAAGTTTGAGCCATCCGAAAACTAAATCTCCTTAATCAGCACATACGTGCTTAGTGTACGTGGTGTACGGGCAATTTGATCTCGGATTGCAGCATATGAGTTCATTATGGTGATTTTAGATCTTGAGTGACATATTATAAGATCAAACTTGACCTAATTTTTTCTATCCCAAGCCCAACCAGTAGACGTTTTAGGGAGACCTGTCAGTTGGTTTGCAATGATAAATCTGCAAAGAAAGATTGTAGTAGTTAGCAATGGAAGGTAGCTCAGTCTGTGCAGTGCTGCTCAGGGAGGAAGAAGGGTATTTATAGAGTTATTTGTACAGATAGTAGATTAAGGAAACCGTCAATGTAAATATATCTACACTGATGGTAGGTTTAAGAAAACCACCAGCCCTAGATTTACATTGGTGGTCACTTAAGCTGACCGCCAGTGTAGAGTCAATTGACACTGGTGGTTGGCTTAAGTGAACCACCAGTGTAAATTTAGGTTTTTCATTGACCGTTTTCTTAATGTTACCACCAGTTTAGATGTATCTGCAGTGACGGTTTATAGTCATGGGTCCATGCGTCTATTTAATTTCCACTAGTGTAGGTGTCAGCAAAAACCGTATGTCGTAGTGCTTGTATCCTACATTGTACGACTTTTTGTAAAAATAAATAGGCCACACCTAGATCCTACAAGTTACACTTACACTAAAAGTGCTCTGTGTGCATTATTGAAGTCTTCTCAAATGAAGAGAACATTACCCATCAATCATCATAAGATGGGTGAATGATATTTTGAAATAGATACTCCGATCCATATGACAAGCTATCGTGACCCAGCTGAGAACTCAACTTTGCCAAGATAGGATCTATCGTCGTCTGCGATGATTATTTGGGTGCATTATTGCCTGATGAGTTAGCTACCACTCGCGATATTTCCTTCATACTACCGATATAATTCTAACATATTTATATAGAAAACGGACGAAATATAATCATTTGTTCATCCTCCTTCAGCCTTCCTCCACACAACACAAGTTGTATGTAGCCAGTGATGGAAGGCATGCATATTCGTTCCAGCTTATTAACTCACGTGAGAGAGGATATTGGGTGTTGTTCCAATGATTGGAGTGGCCATGCATATGGCTTTGATATCTTTGGAACGACCGGACATGCTTGTACACGTATGTCTATAAGAATGTATTACGCTCTATCAATTGTCGTTTTGTAGATACACTTGGGCCATCCTCGTACTCCATGATGCGGAATTGCAACGCACTGTGCCCATTTGCAAGGCCTTCCAGGGATGATTATTGGAGTGAGAATGTAAGAGCAATTGAGCAAAACATATACTCTCTCCGTTCCAAATTATAAGTTGCTTTGACTTTTTTGGTACATCTATTTTGCTATGCATCTAGATATAATAATATATCTAGATACATAGCAAAATGAATCACCAAAAAAAGTCAAAGCGACTCTAATTTAGAGCAGCGCTTTGATAATGCATCTGATTAGTCATGGTCAATTCTATCACGCATTGACCTTTACTACACCTGAGGGCTTCTCTAACTGTAGAAGCTAGTGTACTATCTCTAAGTTTGTTCACCTCATAAAAAGATAGCAAAAAGACAACTTCATCTAATGGCCTTTCCTGGAGCCCAGCTATGGCAAATATTTTTTTAGCAAATGGCAGTAGTTCTACCTTTCAATTAAGGAGTAAAAAGATTTTGAACTTTGCAAGTACAAAATGGCCTGGTTGCAACACAAAGAAATGACACAAGGAGACCCTCGTACCTAGACATTTCTTTGTGATGATTTAACCTATAGTAAACCGTGTTGTATGTTGATGTGGGATTGTTGGGATTTAACACCATCTTAGTTGTTGAGGATGAGTTAGACTAACACACAAGGTTTCTAGAGTTCACACCACCATCCCCCGTTAATCCTTTTATAGTTTTATTACTCCAAGCACGAATGAAAACTTGTGTTTGTGGTCAACTCAGAGTGTATAGTGAATCTAAGCTATTTGGACTCTAAGACATTATACATTGGACTCTAAGGCGTTACACACAAACAAGCCATCCACTATTTTTCAAAGAAACAAAAAAATAATTGCATAAATTATTTTGGTTGGCTTAATTTTTTCAGACCCGGCCTTAGAAGTAGCCACAGGCCCGGATTATAATTAGCCTAATCGGGCTTGGACCAGGCTAGTTTTACT